TTTTTCTCGTTTCCATGGAGATAACTTGAACATAGACTCTGAATGGGGGTAAGCTTGGTTTCCGGACCATAACTCGGAAACCGTTTAATATTTTTTCGCGAAACTTTGTATACACATTAACCCAGCACTGAAGTGGTACCTTTTGCTATTTAGAGATTTTTGACATTTTTATTTTTTCTCATTTCCATGGAGATAACTTGAACATAGACTCTGAATGGGGGTAAGCTTGGTTTCCGGACCATAACTCGGAAACCGTTTAATATTTTTTCGCGAAACTTTGTATACACATTAACCCAGCACTGAAGTGGTGCCTTTTGCTATTTAGAGATTTTTGACATTTTTATTTTTTCTCGTTTCCATGGAGATAAGTTGAACATAGGCTCTGAATGGGGGTAAGCTTTGTTTCCGGACCATAACTCAGAAACAGTTTAATATTTTTTCGCGAAACTTTGTATACACATTAACCCAGCACTGAAGTGGTACCTTTTGCTATTTAGAGATTTTTGACATTTTTATTTTTTCTCGTTTCCATGGAGATAAGTTGAACATAGGCTCTGAATGGGAGTAAGCTTTGTTTCCGGACCATAACTCAGAAACAGTTTAATATTTCAACATTGACCTCAATACAAACAAAGCGCAACCTCTTCTGCAAGAACCCTTCACGCAGCTGAATGAAGTGTCCAATACCAGGAAAGAAAGTGTTATTGACCATATTTATGTCAAGGATCTTTCACATCAGAGAGCCGGTGTGGTGCCTTGCTATTACAGTTTCCATGACATCACATATGTCATTGTGTAGAAGACCTGCAGAGTCAGATACATGGGCAATAACATCACAGAGACTTTCCTTTGTGCCATATAACATTGCTACATCATTTCTGATATGTTGGGGATATTAATATATTTGTGTCCAAACTCTATTAGTACTTTAAGTGGATTTTCTACAAATACTTCAGTAACAAGAAAACTGTGCTACTTAGATGACTACACTGTCAGGTGGGTAAATGATTGAGGGATTAGTGGTGTTGATTAGACGCTGAAGTGGTGCCCATTAGTTGTTTGAAATTTCTAGGAGTTCTATTTTTGTCTCTGTTATTTAGTAATGGAGGGTGGGAATGAAGAGATGGGGTTTAACTTGAAGTAAACGAATGAATGGGGGTTAGGGGAGTGCGGGGAGACATATGTTTTTACGAGTAGAAACACTTTCTAGTTTCTGATAGATATTGGTTCACTGATCACCACCATCTGCTGGAGTGCATGGAGCTGGGGGAGCCAAGCTACCCTATTTGGGGTATGTTGAGGCTACTATTGCTATACCCCCTGACTTCATGGGTCAAGTAGTGGATGTACCCGCATTCATTCTTGTGGTGCCCACTACCGACTTCACCACTAAGGTACCTCTCATCCTGGGGACCAATGTCCTGCGTGCTGCTTGTGAAAGCAACCCTGGTGACAGGGTATATGGGAGTTCTTCTCCTTGTACCATGGCTATTCAGTGGCTCAGTAGTAGTTGGAATGACTGAACCGAACTGAGAATGTGCTGACAACTAAATCTATCACAATATCCCTGTCTTGCAACCAGATTATTACAGGTATTTGCAGGGGTTTTGCTCCAAAGATTGGTATGGAGCTTTGTGCCACACAGTCCATACTTCCTGGTTCACTTACTCTGGTTACTGGTGCTGTTGGGTTTCAGTCCAGCCACTCAACATCAGCAATACTGGCTCTGTACTTACCAAACTACCAAAAGAATTATTCGATCTGGACTCTCTGGATGATAATCATTCCCAGGATGAAACAACTTAATTGCACTCTATACTGAATGAGATTGACGATGTGTTCAGCAAGTCCGATATCAACATGGGACATACTGACCCGGTCACCCATCGAATAGAACTCACAGATGAGACTCCATTTAAGGAAAGACTTTTAGATGTATTCCACCCTCTATGTATCAAGAGGTCAAGGATCATATAAAGCGGATGTTAGATGCTAAAGTTATCCGTCCATCTACTTGTCCATATGCCTCGCCTGCTGTCCTGGTAAGCAAACATGACTCGAGTCTGCGATTCTGCATTGACTGCATTGACAGTCGCACAATTTAAGATTTCTATGCTCTACCAAGGATAGAGGAAACTCTTCATGATACTTTTCATGAGGCAAAATACCTCTCTTGTCATGACCTTAAAAAGTGGATAATGGCAAGTCAAAGTAGACAAGGAGTAGAAGGCCTGTACTGCCTTCACTGTTAGCCCAATTGAGTTTTACGAGTTTGTGTTTTAGACTGACAAATGCTCCTGCTACTTTCCAGTACCTTATGGAGAGATGCATGAATGACATTCATCTTCTCCAATGCCTCATCTATCTCGATGACATCATTGTGTTTTCTAAGACCCTTTGATGAGCATCTTGAGAGATTTCAAGCATTCTTCCAAAGATTGTGCAAGAACGGGCTCGAGCTAAAGCCCTCCGTTAAGTACCTAGGTCATGTAATCTCTGAGGAGGGTATCAAAACAGACCCTGAAAAGATTTAGGTTTTGAAGACCGGGCCAATTCCACGTAATGTCAAAGACGTTTGTCTTTTTCTTGGAATCTCCAGCTACATTAGACGGTTTGTTCCAGACTACGCTAAATTTGCTAAGGCACAAACTTCTTTGGTTGCTGGTCACGATGGGAGGTCCAACCAATCATTTGTATGGGTCAATGCTCAACAGTCTGCTTATTAGCAGGCTTTCTTTTGCTTCTGTTTTGGCTTTTGCTGATTTCACTCTGCCCTTTGAATTGCACATTGATGCAAGTGGGGATGGCTTGGGTGCAGTACTGTACCAATCCCAAGACAATCAAAGGCGACTGATTGCCTATGGAAAGCAAAGCTGAATTACCCTGCTCATAAATTAGAGTTTTTGGCTCTAAAATGGGATGTCACCAAGAAGTTCCATGACTACATGTGTGACAACTCATTCACTGTCAAGACTGACAATAATCCCCTCACTTTTGTCCTAACTTCTGCTAAGTTGGACGCAACTGGGCACTGCTGGCTCGCAGAACTTGCTACTTATGACTTCTCCCTTGAGTATGTTTCAGGTGCAAGGAATGTTGATGCAGATGCTTTGTCCAGGTTGCCGCGGCAGTCCATGGACATACAAACTGTGTCTGCTCTCTGTAATGGGCAACTCTATGGCGGACGATGGTATGGAACCTCCTGACGTCGCTAGCCAACGGATGAGAACATATCAGCAAGCTGATTCTTCAATCTGTTCCATTTGGACCTCATCCGTAATGATACATGCCCAACCATGGAGGCTCTCAAATCCATAGACCAGGACACTGCATCCATTCTCCAACAGTGGGACTCACTGTCAAAGATGGCCTTCTCCACAGGCAACACCTGGACTTCCCTTATCTATTTTTCTGTATTCCACCACTTCATATCACTGTGAAGCTTGTATTATGGTTCTGTTCGGATGAACAAAACCTTCCAAATGACGTGCTGGTTTTCTTGGGGGAATTAGTCAGCAAAGAGACGAAATCACAGAGACTAATCACAATTTAAATTTACAAAGAACAATTAACAATGAACAATATCTTAACTACAGCTGAGGGTGCCACAGAGAGTCGGTACAACCCTCTGGGCTGTGGGAGAGAAGTTTGCTTAGTATAAGTGTCAAACCCCTTCTGTATTTATTTAATAAAAATTAGAACAATAAAAAGGAATATGATTGGTTGATACACAATGGGGTGTGCCCAATGGTTAATGAATGGCTAGACAGAGTAGAATACTTAATCCTGTTAATCCTGTTGGACTGGCACTAATCTTGTTGACATATTTACTGGGTGCTTGGAAAGAGATTATGGTATCACTATAGGCAAGTTTGTATGGGGGCTAATCCTTAATGAGTCTAATTTGAAGTAATTGCTGAATGTTATTCTAGTATAGGTGATGACATATTTACTTAAATAAAATAGTTTAAGGCAATCTATAAGACTATGTAGACATATCTTTTGTCTTATTTGATATTATGTCTGGGAGATGGGATCTTGTTACCTTAGACCTTGTATTTATCTAAAAGCTATAAATCTATTGAACTATGTAGACATAACTTTTGTCTTATTGAATAGTATGTCTGGCTATGCTAGCATCTATCTAAAAACTATAACTGAAACTACTGATATTTTTTGTATATGCATTTTACCTTGATTAATGTATTACTTGCTAAACTATAATTATATGAAATGTGGTATAAATGTTACACAATGGTAACTTATAAAAGCCCCTGCTGTAGATCTAATTTTTATATGAAAACTTAGTATAAATGTTATATCATGATACTTGACTACCTTTAATACGTGTCAGATGCCCTTTGGTCCACTTCTTAAAACTTCCTTTCTCACCTGCCCTCCTCATGGCATTCTGTTTGAACTCTTATGGAGGGAGGTCTCTAATTTCCAGGTGAGAAACATTTCAATATTCTTACCTTTTCCATCCTGTACTGGAAACAAATAAATGTCATAGAAAGGGTATCGCTGCTTTTCATTGAAGTAAAATATACTTAATTACATTTTTTTAAATTTTTTATATCTAAATATGTGCCAGTTCACACATCATCATCATCATAATAATACTAATACTACTACTAATAAAATAATAATAATATAAAATAATAATAATAATAAAAATAATAAAAATAATAATAAAGGCTATTTATATAGCGCAAAATGCACATCACTGAGAGTCTAAGGTAGTATTATCCCCTGCCACGTGAGGTGGGGGATATCGGAACAGAGTTCTCAAAGAGGACAAATTTTCTCAAAAACTGTTTAAGTTAAATTTTACACACTGATCTTAATGGTCATGATCTTAAATGAGTCCAAAAATTGGTGTCTAAGTTCATCCTTTTTAGAGTTATGGCCCTTGACCACTTCTTTTCAACTTAATGCATACTGCGTGAAATGGTTTTTACTTTGAAAAGTAATTAATTCAATTATTCTTTATTTTCCAGCCAAGGAAATGAGCCTGACTACATCTCCAATCATTACAAAGGGCTACTCTGGCTTCCTGACTGTCAACAAGACAATCAACAGCAACATGTTCTTCTGGTTCTTCCCAGCACAGGTATGTCATGCCACACACAGGCACATGATGTCATGTCATGCCACACACAGGCACATGATGTCATGTCATGCCACACACAGGCACATCATGTCATGTCATGCCACACACAGGCACATCATGTCATGTCATTTCCAATCACACACAGGCATGTCATGTCCAATCACACACAGGCACATGATGTCATGTCATGCCACACACAGGCACGTCATGTCATGTCATGCCACACACAGGCACATGATGTCATGTCATGCCACACACAGGCAAGTCATGTCATGTCATGCCACACACAGGCACGTCATGTCATGTTATGTCACACACAGGCACGTGATGTCATGTCATGCCACACACAGGCACGTCATGTCATGTCATGCCACACACAGGCACATCATGTCATGTCATGCCACACACAGGCACGTCCTGTCATGTCATGCCACACACAGGCACGTCATGTCATGTCATGCCACACACAGGCACATCATGTCATGTCATGTCACACACAGGCACATCATGTCATGTCATGCCACACACAGGCACATGATGTCATGTCATGCCACACACAGGCACATGATGTCATGTCATGCCACACACAGGCACATCATGTCATGTCATGCCACACACAGGCACATCATGTCATGTCATTTCCAATCACACACAGGCATGTCATGTCCAATCACACACAGGCATGTCATGTCATGTCATGACACACACAGGCACATGATGTCATGTCATGCCACACACAGGCACATGATGTCATGTCATGCCACACACAGGCACGTCATGTCATGTCATGCCACACACAGGCACATGATGTCATGTCATGCCACACACAGGCAAGTCATGTCATGTCATGCCACACACAGGCACGTCATGTCATGTTATGTCACACACAGGCACGTGATGTCATGTCATGCCACACACAGGCACATCATGTCATGTCATGCCACACACAGGCACATCATGTCATGTCATGCCACACACAGGCACGTCCTGTCATGTCATGCCACACACAGGCACGTCATGTCATGTCATGCCACACACAGGCACATCATGTCATGTCATGTCACACACAGGCACATCATGTCATGTCATGTCACACAGACACATCATGTCATGTCATGCTACACACAGGCATGTCAGGTCCTGTCCAATCACACACAGGCACATGATGTCATGTCATGTCACACACAGGCACGTCATGTCACACACAGACATGTCATGTCACACACAGACATGTCAGGTCCTGTCACACCCAGGCACATCATGTGATGTCCACTCACACACAGGCATGTCATGTCATGTCACAAACAGACACAACATGCCATGTCACACACAGGCACATCATGTCATGGCATGTCACACAGGATGTTCACAGCACAGGTATGTCCCACACAGGATGTTCACAGCACAGGTATGTCCCACACAGGATGTTCACAGCACAGGTATGTCACACACAGGATGTTCAATGCACAGGTATATCACACACAGGATGTTCACAGCACAGGTATGTCACACACAGGATGTTCACAGCACAGGTATGTCACACACAGGATGTTCACAGCACAGGTATGTCCCACACAGGATGTTCACTGCACAGGTATATCACACACAGGATGTTCACAGCACAGGTATGTCACACACAAGATGTTCACAGCACAGGTATGTCACACACAAGATGTTCACAGCACAGGGATGTTCACAGCACAGGTATGTCACACACAGGACGTTTACAGCAGAGGTATGTCACACCCAGGATGTTCACTCAGAACAGGTAGGCCATGTCAGACATGATGTTCACAGCACAGGTATATCATGTGAGACATGATGTTCACAGCTGAGGTGTGTTATGTCCCACACAGGATGTTCACAGCACAGGGATGTCATGCACAGGATGTTCACAGCTCAGTTACGTCATATCATCAACTGTTTGAAATCACCCACTCTCTATTAACAGGACCTTATGCTGAAATAAATTCAGCAGGCTGTGTTAGGAAGTGTGCTAGAAATTCAGCAGGCTAACGGTCCTTTGGGGTGGTTCACATAGCTGGCAAGTTTATGTTAAACAGTGTCGCGGGTGATGAACTTCCAGTGATTGGCATAAGTTCTGTCTGGGCATGTGTGGCTGTCATAAGATTTAAACAATCAGTTCTACATTCTAAGGTAACTTATGAAAATATCTACCACTTACATATACTCAGCTTTATGGTAAATCTGTCAAATCTGCCATGAAGTTATTGCAAGTGGATGACAATAGCCTTTACTGCGTGGGGAAAGTTTTGTGACACACTGTTGAGATTACCAAAGATCAAAGCAAAGCTACCTCATTGATTTTGAGTAGAAAGCAGTGTGGTAAAAAAAAGTTACCTCGGCGCCAGTCAGTGTTTTTTCAACTGTAGATACACGTGCTGTTGTAGTTTGCAAAGAAGGTTGGAGAAGCGTGTTTATGTACCAGTAGTTTTACAAGGCTGGCGTATGTCTGGACTACACAGTGTTGTGTGAGCAACTTGACAAGAGGTGACAGGTTAGTGAACGTTCCTGATCAGACTATGGACACAGTGATTATGTCTGATTGAGGAAACAGGATGTGAGAGATTTTGTAAGTTATCATATGCTGTCTGGTTTGACAATGTGTGGAAGTTACTAAAAGAAATATATGCCTTCTTACGTGTTCTTTTTGTTGATGGTCTGCAAAAATAACTATGTCATGACACTACTGCGAGTGTGTGTCACTCTCAGTTTTTTACAGTACTTTCCTGCTCGCAAAACTTACCAGACTTACAGTATATACCATTACACATACAGGTAAATGTTGACCCATCAAGCTACTACAATCTGTACAGGCTGTGCTGCAGTAGTCAGCCTGGTTCGTTAACGATCAAGTCCTTGGGTTTTCATTCACATTCCCAGAATCATATTGAATGTTATGCCTATTTGTGAGTGTGGGTGTTGTTGATTGGCTGTAGCTATAATGTTGGTCTTCTACCTTATTATTCATGTGGGGGCACGGGTGGCCCAGTCATCTAAGGCACCGCAATTCACTGTGCAGAGTTGCGTCCCTTGGGCATGCCAGAAACCTATGATTGTGGGTTCGAATCCTGGTTCACCCCGATTATGTTTCTAGGTTTGTCAGCACCATACCCGTGCTCGTGGGTGTCACCGAAGTGGTAAACGTCTGAGACCTGCATCACTTCGGGCTTTCCTCCCACATTAAGCTGACACGCCGTGATATGACTGGAATACTGTTAAAAGCGGCGTTAACCCCAACTCACTCACTCACTCACTCACTCACTCACTCACTCACTCACTGTTATTCATGTGTCATGTGTAATTATTCAATATGAGATTTTAATGGGGACAAGTTTTTCACCAGTGCTTACTGAATGAAATTTTGCAGTTGGGGATAAGTATTTAAACCAGAATTGAAAATGTATTTTTGATGTCCCTTGTTTGATGATTAAAGTATAAAGATGTTGAGGGAGTTTGAAAACCGGCATCCAAAGTAAATGTTTGAATTTTTTCCCTTGTTTGATCCTTTGGCTTTCGTGCAGTTGCACCACTGGGAATAAGTGTTCTTGGAAACCACTTTAAATGACATTTATGTATGTAATGAATATATTACCCAGTATGAAAACCACCATTGGGCTTAAAAAAATAAAAGCATTGGTTCTCAAGCAATGGTTTTTGAAAATATAGTGCAGGCGGGCAGTGTCTTTTTTTTTCCTTTTTTTGGTTGTTCAAACTAGTATGTAACCAAATAAGCAGTTGTGTAAAGAGATAAACAATTGTGTACTATCAACCTGGGCAAGGGCCTCCCTACATAAATGTATTCCTTGATGAGTAAAATACTGGAATACAGTACTTGACTACCATTGGACTTGGAATATTTAAGGCTTTTTTAAAATAGAAGTAAAATGGAAAAAAATATGAAAAGTGCGGTGAAATTTATGATTATGCGGGCGATGCCTGAGAACCAAGACTATTATTTCTGTTAGCATTGAGAATTAATATTTTGCCAAGTTGAAAGGGTAGGTTTCCTTTCATGAGCATAAGTCATAAACTGTCTAATACTGTACATCTTAATGAAAAGCAAGTGCTGAACTGCTGAAGATGTTTAAAACTAATTTTTTGCTTTTCAAAGGTGAAAAGTTGAAATGAGTATTGGGTCTACTTTTGCAGGCAAACCTTTTACTTTTTTTATGGCACTGTCCAAATGTTTCAGCAATGTAAGTACTGGTATGAGTAATATTCAAAACAAAAGTATGCGGTCTACAGGTGTTTCTCAATCCTTGCCAACAGGACCAACTGTTATTCTTGTGTCCACAGACTGACCCAGTTAATGCTCCTGTGTTGCTGTGGTTACAAGGAGGTCCTGGGGGTTCATCACTCTTTGGTCTGTTTGTAGAACAAGGACCTATCTTGGTGGACAAACATGGAAACTGTAAGTACAAAGTCTGTCAATAAGACAAATACTTCTAAGTTTGTTTGTTTGTTTGTTTTGACAGCTGTGCCCTGGATATTTGAGGGTAGAATCCTGTGTAGACTCAGGGATGTAGGTGTCCAGTGACCAGTGCTTGGATCAGATGATCCGGCTCCATGATTTGACATTATGTGTATCATCATTCCTCAGCTGTCTCGATCACATTACTTTCACATTTCAGACAATAAAACAGATTTTTAACTTATCCTGCATTACTCCTTAATGCATATTACTGCTTGTTCTTGACAGAGAAAAGAGCTGTGTGAAGGTCTTTGCTTGAAGAAGTTGTTCCAACTAGCTGAGAGGCCAACCCTATCACACAGACTCACGTGACCAAAGGAAGTGACGTCACGGATCCTCACATTACTTTTGTCACTTGCTGAGCAAAGACCTGTCTTTTTGCTGTAGCATAAACTTTTTCAAACCCTCACGTGTTTGCTCTTTGAGTGACGTTTATTGTTTTTGTGTTATGCCTACGGTTTGTATTTTGTAATTCTGTGTTTGATAAACATGTGCATAGCATTATTAGACACTTACTGGCATTTTCTCAAAAGAAAACAATGTATTATGCCAGGTGTCTTGTTGTTTCAAGTAGCCATCTTGAATATTTTACGTGGCCAGTGAGTTAATGAACTGGCTTGCGTTGGCGGACAGACTGGAGATAGTCGCTCCATCTCGCGGCCTAGAGGTTGATAGCAAGACAGCCATCAGTGTGGACCCTACCTCCATCCCTCCTGACCCACTGACCAGGGACATGGTCTCAGCCCTGGATGAGGACTTCAGTGAGCTTTCACTGACTCTGTCCTTCAGGGCCCCACGCTATAGACAAGACGACTACCCAGTCCGATCTCTTCACGTTGTGGACTGCGCTCATACTTTAGATGAGGATCTGCACCGCATGACTGGGTCTAACCGCTCAACCTCAGTACGAATCTCTGACAGTTAACTCGCCTACGTAGAGACTGAGATTCGCCACACGCTCAAACCTCTCTCACTGGTGACATCCTTCAGAGCCATTCTTCAGGACTTGTTAGAGGATAACCCCCATAGAATAGACAACCTAACAACAGTTGTATCCTACCTCCAGCAACAAATAGAGCATATGTGCTCTGTGCATATGTGCTATGTGCGTCGCTCTGATTGAGCTCACAGCCACAAGACGCCTGGGCTACCTTGCCCTGTTGGACTGGGACCCAGAGTTCAAGAGATACCTCCTGCGTCAACCTTAGTCCGCCTCTGACCTCTTTAACAGACAAATATATAAGACGCACTCCAGAGTCTCAGCCTTTGCCCGAGATGAGACAGCTCTCAAAGCCCTGGCCAGGGTGTCACAGCCAGACGTTGCTAAGGCGTCCCAATCTGGCACACACCAGACACAACGCAACACCCTCCAGCTCCGGGGGGAGGGGCTCCACCTCAACCTCTCGTGGCAGAGGCAGAGGAAAAGGCAAGTCCTCAGGCTCATACCAGTCCTGCTGCGGCCACGCCAAGGGATGTAACGCTGACTGCAGGACTTCAAGTGAATCGCCAGACAGGCATGACTGGGACTTCCACCCCCAGCCGTCCAAGTTGTCGACACTCCAGGAGGTGGGAGACTTGGTCGATTCTGGCAGAATTGGGAGATCCTGGGGGACCCATATGTCACCAACATCATCCGACATGGGTACAAGCTGGCGCTTATAGACGGCCCGCTGCTCACGCCGTCACCCTGTATCCTGCCTCCTGAATCATTGGGACACTGTCACTCTACTTCGACACAGGGACTTCACCCTCCGGCTCCTGTACCAGTTGACACCCTCAAATCGCCTTCAGTTCATCGGGGGCCTTTTCCAGACACACCTCGACCTCCTCTCTGTACCAAGAGACTGGGGGAAGCGCATGCAGTCGCAACTGACTCCAGCCCTCCACCTACCACCCACTCTGCGCCAATGGCAAGTCCTCCTGGGCCTCCTAACCTCAGCGCAGGACGACCTACAGAGGAAGGCTCCAACTGTGCCCAGTTCAGATGTTTCTGGCTCCCTACATCAGGTGCCTTGGTATCCATCGTCCTCCCGGATCACCTCAAGCAGCATCTCCAGTGGTGAACTGTGGAATCGAATGTCTTAGGCGGCGACTCCTTGACAGGGCTTATTACCTCTCTGAGCCTATTCGTAGACGCTTCCCTGCAATATCTCGGCCAGGCAAGGTTGCTCCGACAGAGTGGAAGCCTCACCTTGACGCCTTCGCTCTTGTTTGTCAGGACCACGGTCTCCCAAACATAGACCTATTTGCCACCAGCCAGAACTGCCAGATCCCGACCTACCTGCTGATCCACCCTCACAGCAGACAGCCACACCCAGGACCAAACAAGTTATGTCTTCACGTCTTGTCCATTTACAGAGAGCACTGAACGCCAAAGTTTACTCGGCCAGAGCGGCTAGAGCCATCATGATTGCACATCGCCTGACCACCAGGGGCCTATATGACGCGCCACAATTCCTGGCCGAGTTCATGCTCTATCTTCGCCACAAGTGTAAGCTCAAGGGTAGTACCATCACGACCTACCTTGTGGTGCCCAACTTCGTCCTGGTAGTTCCGGAATATCGGCGCATGATGAAAATCCCGGAATTACAGGCTGGAAGACCAAAAGGCGAGATCATTCCTCATCCCTCCCCTATAATTGATTGTGGGCGAGGAAGAGGAACAAGAGCTACCGTCTATGTCTGGTTAGAGCGCTCCTCTGCTAGATCCGCTGATCCAAGAAACGTCGTAGACAACAATGACGCCTTTTCATACCGGTAAGCCACAACACCATCACCCTTTGGCTACAAGCCATCATTCGCCAGGCCTACGAGATTGAACCCTCCACGCTCCAACAACCCGCATGAGATCCAGGCGGTTGCCTCCACCATGGTGCTACACAGCAACAGCTCTCTACGCGCCATCATGGAGGGTTGTTTCTGGCGATCTAACACAGTCTTCATCAGTCACTACCTGCGAGACGTTGCATTGGAGGATGTGCAAGGCACGCACAGCTTTGGTCCGTTAGTTGTGACCCAACAGGTCACCACTACTACATGTCACTGACCTCCCTCCAGTCCAGAGCTGGCCTTTTGACATCCCCTTGCATAATGCCCTGGACTAGAAGGTTCATGCCCAACTTGCATACGGCTCGGTACTCCAGTCTAAGGCCTTCACTTGAGAGGGTTATCGTCGATGGCTGCATAGTACCAGGACACAAAGCACACCTGACTCTTCCCTTCATGTAATGGTCATTAATGTGGACCATACAGCCGAAGAGGGGCTGAAGGAATGGAGTGGTCAACTGAAGCCGACCACACAGCCAAGGATTGGCTAGGGAACAGAGTCTCGAAAAAAAGATGAAAGTCCACATCTGAAGGTATGCCCTCCACCGATTCCATCAGATAAAGATGCATTAAGGAGTATTCCAGGATAAGTAAACAATCTAGTAAAATCCTAGATACTTTTTATATTTGTATACTTATCCTGCATTACTGCGTCTAAAGAGACACGCCCATCGCAGATGCCTTTCGATGTTCTGGACTCCAGAGTAATGAGAGGATCCGTGACATCACTTCCTTTGGTCAAGTGGGAGCTGCGTGATAGGGTTTGCCTCTTAGCTCAACAACTTCTTCAAGCAAAGACCTTCATACAGCTCTTTTCTCTATCAAGAACAAGCAGTAATATGCATTAAGGAGTAATGCAGGATAAGTATACAAATATAAAAAATATCTAGGCTTTACTAGAATTATATGTGTCTACAAAATGAACAAAAATATAAATAAATGTAAAGCCATTAAAACCTCAGTTCATTTGTCACACCACTTCTGTTGGTTACTGACACATACTTCAGCTAACTGCTTGTATGACCTTATATGGAAATCAAAGCCCAAATGTAACAAATGTTTTATTTGGGATAACACTTTCTTAGTAAAGTACAGATTCTTGTACTTAGATTCTTGTACTCGTGTTTAGGTTGAGTCACGCCCAGGATTCGAACACACACAGTCACTGCCAGAGTGAGGCACCTAATCGTCAGCACACAAAGTCAGCAATCTGACCTACTCAGCCACGGAGGCTTCTACAAAAATGAAAGTCTGACAGCTGGTAGTCTAGATCACGTACTTTATGTACCCCTCTGACATATGTCAATTAGAATGACTCCCATCATTTAAAAATATTTTTACATTGTTCATAAATTCTGGTGATAATATGAGAGAACCAGGGAACTGTGTTTGTTAAACATGCCTGTTGAGGGTTTTTAGAGGCTTTCAAAGCTCCAGTCATGTCCAGTTGGGCTCTATGTAGAAGACGGGTGAAATGGGATTTCTTTGGGTTTTTTGTCAGAATTTATATCATGATGTCAGGGGTCAAGGTCAGCATTCAGGATGTTAGACACCTTGAAGTTTGGTTTTTGGACTGGGAGCTGTATTACGGCACGTTTGGGGTTTTTGAGGACATAATCACCCTCACGTAAAATCACCAAGACATTATGTCCAAATTCCAGTGATTGTATATGACATACATGTGAAGTTTACGCATGCAAATATTGCTTGCAAGAATAGAAACTTACGTGCAGTCATTAAATTTCCACAAATTTCTGAATGATGTATACTGAACAACAAAAGTTCCTGTGACATTGAATTAGATTTAATGCAAAGTTATGTTTTTTACCAAATCTGAAACAATTCCTGTCTGCAACAGATAAAAGACTCTTGTAAGTGTTCAAATGGTTTAATTTGCCATACTGACTTCAGAAAATTCGTGAATTCATAAAAAACATGAACATGCCAAAATGTCAATTTACAAATCAATAGCGTGTGTGTCCACCTCTGGTTGCAATGCAAGCAACACATCTTCGTCTCATGAAATGGACCAGGCGTTGCACAAAGTCTTGTGGGATATGTGTCCATATCTGCTGGAGCATGTTTCGAAGTTCCTGGAGTGTCTGTGGAACACGTGGTTGACGTCGAAGTCGCTGATCCATCTCATCCCACATGTGCTCGATTGGTGAGAGATCAGGGGAGCGAGCCGGCCAGGGGATGACATTCAGGTTGTTTAGTTGAAGAGAACCCTGAACAAGTCGAGCAATATGAGGCCGGGCGTTTTCATGTTGAAAGGTAATGCCTGTGTCATGACGACGCGAAAACGGTAGAACAACAGGGCCGATGATCTCGTCGCGGTAGCGCTGTCCATTGAGATTTCCCTCTACCACTATCAAACGTGTCCTCTGTCTTGCTGTAATCCCACCCAATACCATAACGCTGCCGCCCCTGAACCGTTCTTCTTTGATGACACAATGATTGATGTAACTTCCACCTCGATGTCAGTACACTCGAATCCTTCCATCGCTGTGGCTGAGGTGAAAACGAGACTCGTCAGTGAATAGAACTTGTCCCAAATGCATGGCTGTCCAGCGTAGACGCTGTCTGCACCACTGTAGACATGCTTAACGGTGGTTTCCTGTCAAAATGGGACATCTCCCTGCACATCTGAGGCGACGACGTACGGTTTGTGAAGATATTCATCGAAGGCCAGGGATGCTTATGGCAGTCACTGTAGCTGGCTGGAATCGATTTCGTAGGTGTGTTGTTCGAATCCAGTTGTCTTGTCGATTATTGGTTACGCATGGCCTGCCACTCTGAGGATGGTCGCTGACTGCATAACACCAAATGGTGTTTCTGTGGACGTTAAATTGTCTTGCAACATCACGTTGACTCGATCCTGCTTCAAGCATGCCAATGGCTCGCAGACGCTCATTTTCGGACAGGCGTGGCATTTCGTAATGTTGAATAATTGCGTAATTTTGTTGTTTTTCTGAGTGGTTGTTGTCAGCACGATGCTAAACAATGCATATAGAATCCCGTTAACGCACATGTTTCTATACCCATTCTTGGGTAGTGAAATGCATGGGGCTTGCATAGAAGTCAACTTTTGCATGGAATGCATGCTTTTCTGTAGCAGTTGTGTTTTTGTGACTTGATTCCATACATGTACTACAATATTGAAAACCAAACTTTACATGTTTGAAAAATACACTAAAATATTGGTGTCACAGGAACTTTTGTTGTTGAGTATAGATGCAAAAAGAGTTATTTTTGCATCAAAGATTCTTTTGAAAAATATGTTGAAATGGGCTGCATGAAGTGAATAAAAACTTTTTTGAATTGTGATGAAATCCTTCTCAACTTGCACTGCTATATTGTCAGAGGCTTCCAACCATTTTCATGTTACTATAGTTCAATCCTCTGTATTTATGAGCAGAAACTACCTGAATTTTGGAACATTTATAAAGCCATTTTCAAAATATAACCCACCACCTCTTTTGAATATAGCAATCTTTGTTAAAAACATATTTTCAGACATGCTTCATCGACATGATAATGTGTGAACACAACTACACCACAACACAAAAGTCTTTCACTTTGTCGCAACCTTACCACAGGACTTTTGTAAGACTTTTCTGAAGCTACGCTGGGACTTCTGCGAATTTTGGTAGATTTTCTGTGTAACTAGGCACTGTAACTCTATGGATATATGTGAAACTAATTGCCCCTTTTATTGGACTAATTTAATAGTTTTATGTTATGTTTATATATAACACTTTAACATGGTCTATGATTAACTTTTGACTTTTTCTGTATTCATATTTTAATTTTATTGATAACACCACACAATTCCTCCTTGAACATTATGATTGAAACTCTATAATGACTTCAAATTATTAGTACAGCAGATTGAATGAGAATAAATAATAAATGAAATATAGAAGATACAAGTGATTGTCCCTTATCAGCCACTATGTTTGAATTGTTTGCATTACAAAGAATAAGGGTGAAACGATACACTGATATTCCGATGCATCGCAATACTTGACCGATACGATACACGATACTCGTGGGCCTATTTATCGATACGCCACAATGCGAAACACAAATCTTAAATACAGTCTTCCTCGCTTTTGCACCCTTCAATTAAGCGCTAACTGAGTTGTAGTGCACAGTATTGCATAGCTCCCAAAACTTACCTACATTTTTAATAAGCTCAAGTTTTACACTGACACAATGTTTTTCCCCATTTCATAAAACATCACCACGAGCCTGAAATACCAGTCCGACTTGTTAAAAGTCATATTTGTGGCAATTTGACAGCTAGACACCAAAGTGCTATGGTTCTTGTAATTTTAAATATATATAGTAAAGCCTGCAACTAAAGTAACACAACATTAGAATATATTATTCCTGATAAAACAATAATTTCAATTTCTTCTGACCATTGCATAAAAATTCTGAAACGTTCATCGTGGATCAGCTACAGACCCACATAGACACAATCCAAGGAGACTATTCATATCCTGCAAGCCTCTTTCCAACAAGGACATCATCAAGGCTACGGCAACAGGGTGGCTTAAGTCTACCTTTGCAGCGAGTTATACGCAGACACAGAATTCCACTCCCAGTCTTGGATCCTGCTCGTCTCATGAGATCAGAGCCCTAGCCACGAGTCTCGCTTCATGGACATCCGTTCGGTGGAACAAGTGGTGTCTAGCTGTCAAATGGCCTCACAAAACACTGTCACCAGCTTTTACTTGTGTGACGTGCAGCTGGACCTAGAGGGCATATCTCCCTTGGGCCCATTGTCATGGCACAAACTATCATCAAACAAATAGTTTCCTCCTTCTATTTAAAAAAAAAAAAAATGAGGTGGGGGGGCGAGGATCCAACAACAGCAGCATCAGAGGGTAGTACATACCTGACTTTAATATTATCCATATTATTTATCCATAAGTGCCCCCGACGGATATCTGTTGGCTTTATCCACACTCCGGCACAATGATGACTCAAAGTATTACACGTCTGCCACAGGCTGATTTGCATATCATGAGACCGGACTTTATCTCTTGTTTGTAAACTGAAATAAGAAAAGACAGGCCTAATGCAAGCTTTTCAGTGTGCTTTACATTTTGTTATTATGTAGATATGCTGTTACAACTGCGACAGTAATGTGTATGGCAATATAGCTTTACAAATCCAAGTGACCATATCGCTAGCTCTCTGTAGGGCTTAGCTTACAGCAAGTGGAAGATAAATAGGCAAATGGAAATAGTTTTTCATGTTTTAGGATATTTACTCAATGAAAGTTGGTTATCTAAATGTGTAGACTCATCCAAAATAAAACAGACAAAAAAAAGTGAATGGATTTTGAAAGTTGTGATGATATGACAGAGGTAGGAGAGTGTTTGGCTTCATACAACCGAGGCATATTTATATTGTAATCTAGGTTTTGATACTGGCTTCTAATCTAATCAAACTGGCAATCAGTATTTTGCTACTCATCAGTAAGAAGAATACACAAGCTTTCTCTTCATTTTGCCTCTTATGAAAAGCATGACTGACACCTGTTTACTCTGCGCACTCTCGGATACACATTACAGAGCTTTGTTGTTTTGGTTTGAGAATTAAATTGGGCATGTGACCTCATGCTTGGAAATTGTTTCATGCATGATTTAAAAACACACAGATGGATGTACTGTTCCTTTAATGTTGTTAGCTCCTAGAAACACTTGACTTTCTGTCATTAGTTGTACTGCAGAAGACAACATTAGGAATTATATTGATAGATAGTGGTGATGTGTGCTGTGACTTGATTTGGTGAAATCTAAATGTTTATGATATGAGTACCGGTACATGTTTGGGAAAGTGTTGGGGTATTCAGGAAAGTCGGATATGGGACTGTTTCCATTTTTTTCATGTAAGGCAGACACCTTTCAAGTGAGGTACTGTAACTCCTTGGTGAACGTGGTAGCTCAATGGTAAGTTAATATACAACACAACTGAAACAGTAGAATCCAGTTTTATTCACTCACTCACTCACTCACTCACACACTTTCTGTGACATTTTGGCTGGTTACTTATGTATATGTTAACTTTTTCTCCACCTCCTCTTTCTCTCTCCAGTGCAGAGGCGAAATATCACCTGGAACAGCAAGTACTCCATGCTGTATATTGACAACCCTGTGAGTATGTAATACACCACTAAATGACATATGTCATGCCTGAACACATATTATACACAACAAAATGACATTGTCATCCCTGAACGCATGTTATACACCACACAATGACATTGTCATCCCTGAACGCATGTTATACACCACACAATGACATATGTCATGCCTGAACGCATGTTATACACCACACAATGACATATGTCATGCCTGAACACATATTATACACCACACAATGACATTGTCATCCCTGAACGCATGTTATACACAACACAATGACATATGTCATCCCTGAACGCATGTTATACACCACACAATGACATATGTCATGCCTGAACACATATTATACACAACACAATGACATATGTCATCCCTGAACACATGTTATACACCACACAATGACATATGTCATCCCTGAACACATGTTATACACCACACAATGACATGTCATGCCTGAACACATGCTATACAACACACAATGACATATGTCATCCTAGAACACATGTTATACACCACACAATGACATATGTCATCCTAGAACACATATTATACACAACACAATGACATATGTCATGCCTGAACACATGTTATACACCACACAATGACATGTCATCCCTGAACACATGTTATACACCACACAATGACATATGTCATCGTTGAACACATGTTATACACCACACAATGACATATGTCATCCTAGAACACATGTTATACACCACACAATGACATATGTCATCCCTGAACACATATTATACACAACACAATGACATATGTCATGCCTGAACACATATTATACACCACACAATGACATGTGTCATGCCTGAACACATGTTATACACCACACAATGACATGTCATCCCTGAACACATGTTATACACCACACAATGACATATGTCATCGTTGAACACATGTTATACACAACACAATGACATGTGTCATCCCTGAACACATGTTATACACCACACAATGACATATGTCATCCCTGAACACATATTATACACAACACAATGACATATGTCATCCCTGAACACATATTATACACAACACAATGACATGTGTCATCCCTGAACACATGTTATACACCACACAATGACATATGTCATCCCTGAACACATGTTATACACCACACAATGACATGTGTCATGCCTGAACACATGTTATACACCACACAATGACATGTCATCCCTGAACACATGTTATACACCACACAATGACATATGTCATCGTAGAGCACATGTTATACAACACACAATGACACTGTCATGCCTGAACACATATTATACACCACACAATGACATGTGTCATGCCTGAACACATGTTATACACCACACAATGACATGTCATCCCTGAACACATGTTATACACCACACAATGACATATGTCATCGTTGAACACATGTTATACACAACACAATGACATGTGTCATCCCTGAACACATGTTATACAACACACAATGACATGTCATCCCTGAACACATGTTATACACCACACAATGACATTGTCATCCCTGAACACATGTTATACACAACACAATGACATATGTCATCGTAGAACACATATTATACACCACACAATGACATATGTCATCCTAGAACACATGTTATACACCACACAATGACATATGTCATCCCTGAACACATGTTATACAACACACAATGACATATGTCATCCTAGAACACATGTTATACACCAAACAATGACATATGTCATCCCTGAACACATGTTATACAACACACAATGACATATGTCATGCCTGAACACATGTTATACACCACACAATGACATTGTCATCCCTGATCACATGTTATACACCACACAATGACATATGTCATGCCTGAACACATGTTATACACCACACAATGACATATGTCATCCCTGATCACATGTTATACACCACACAATGACATATGTCATGCCTGAACACATGTTATACACCACACAATGACATGTGTCATCCCTGAACACATGTTATACAACACACAATGACATATGTCATCCTAGAACACATGTTATACACCACACAATGACATTGTCATCCCTGAACACATGTTATACACCACACAATGACATATGTCATGCCTGAACACACATTATACACCACACAATGACATATGTCATCCCTGATCACATGTTATACACCACACAATGACATATGTCATGCCTGAACACATGTTATACACCACACAATGACATATGTCATGCCTGAACACATGTTATACACCACACAATGACATATGTCATGCCTGAACACACATTATACACCACACAATGACATTGTCATCCCTGATCACATGTTATACACCACACAATGACATATGTCATGCCTGAACACATGTTATACACCACACAATGACATATGTCATGCCTGAACACATGTTATACACCACACAATGACATGTGTCATCCCTGAACACATTTTATACACAATACAATGACGTGTCATCCCTGATCACATGTTATACAACACATATGTCATCATAGAACACATGTTATACACAACACAATGACATGTGTCATCCCTGATCACATGTTATACAACACACAATGACATATGTCATCGTAGAACACATGTTATACAACACACAATGACATATGTCATCGTAGAACACATGTTATACACCACACAATGACATATGTCATCCCTGAACACATGTTATACACCACACAATGACATATATCATCCCTGAACACATTTTATACACAACACAATGACGTGTCATCCCTGATCACATGTTATACAACACACAATGACATATGTCATCGTAGAACACATGTTATACACCACACAATGACATATGTCATCCCTGAACACATGTTATACAACACACAATGACGTGTCATCCCTGAACACATGTTATACACCACAGAATGACATGTGTCATCCCTGAACACATGTTATACACCACACAATGACATATGTCATCCCTGAACACATGTTATACACAACACAATGACATGTGTCATCCCTGATCACATGTTATACAACACACAATGACATATGTCATCGTAGAACACATGTTATACAACACACAATGACATATGTCATCGTTGAACACGTTACACAACACACAATGACATATGTCATCCCTGAACACATGTTATACAACACACAATGACATATGTCATCGTAGAACACATGTTACACAACACACAATGACATATGTCATCCCTGAACACATGTTATACAACACACAATGACATATGTCATCCCTGAACACATTTTATACACAATACAATGACGTGTCATCCCTGATCACATGTTATACAACACATATGTCATCATAGAACAGATGTTATACACAACACAATGACATGTGTCATCCCTGATCACATGTTATACAACACACAATGACATATGTCATCGTAGAACACATGTTATACAACACACAATGACATATGTCATCGTAGAACACATGTTATACACCACACAATGACATATGTCATCCCTGAACACATTTTATACACAACACAATGACGTGTCATCCCTGATCACATGTTATACAACACACGATGACATATGTCATCGTAGAACACATGTTATACACCACACAATGACATATGTCATCCCTGAACACATGTTATACAACACACAATGACGTGTCATCCCTGAACACATGTTATACACCACACAATGACATGTGTCATCCCTGAACGCATGTTATACACCACATAATGACATATGTCATCCCTGAACACATGTTATACACAACACAATGACATGTGTCATCCCTGATCACATGTTATACAACACACAATGACATATGTCATCGTAGAACACATGTTATACAACACACAATGACATATGTCATCGTAGAACACATGTTATACAACACACAATGACATATGTCATCGTAGAACACATGTTACACAACACACAATGACATATGTCATCCCTGAACACATGTTATACAACACACAATGACATATGTCATCGTAGAACACATGTTACACAACACACAATGACATATGTCATCCCTGAACACATGTTATACAACACACAATGACATATGTCATGCCTGAACACATGTTATACAACACACAATGACATATGTCATCGTAGAACACATGTTATACACCACACAATGACATATGTCATCCTAGAACACATGTTATACAACACACAATGACATATGTCATCGTAGAACACATGTTATACACCACACAATGACATATGTCATGCCTGAACACATGTTATACACCACACAATGACACTGTCATGCCTGAACACACATTATACAACACACAATGACACTGTCATGCCTGAACACATGTTATACAACACACAATTTACATATGTCATCGTAGAACACATGTTATACACCACACAATGACACTGTCATCCCTGAACACATGTTATACACCACACAATGACATATGTCATCCCTGAACACATGTTATACACCACACAATGACATATGTCATGCCTGAACACATGTTATACACCACACAATGACATATGTCATCCCTGATCACATGTTATACACCACACAATGACATATGTCATGCCTGAACACATGTTATACAACACACAATGACATATGTCATCCCTGATCACATGTTATACACCACACAATGACATATGTCATGCCTGAACACATGTTATACACCACACAATGACATATGTCATCCCTGATCACATGTTATACACCACACAATGACATATGTCATGCCTGAACACATGTTATACAACACACAATGACATATGTCATCCCTGATCACATGTTATACACCACACAATGACATATGTCATGCCTGAACACATGTTATACACCACACAATGACATATGTCATCCCTGATCACATGTTATACACCACACAATGACATGTGTCATCCCTGATCACATGTTATACACCACACAATGACATATGTCATCCCTGATCACATGTTATACACCAAACAATGACATGTGTCATACTCTAAATCTTGAAATTAGCATGAGCGTGAATTTAATGTGAAAAATGCGAGAGGTCTTTGCTTGCATTATTAAACATTGCATTTACTGGTATAT